GGGGCGGGTGAGCCTGGCGGCGGCCCTCATGGTGGTCCCCGGGTGAGCAGGGGCCCAGCCCTCGCAGACAGCCCCCAGGCGTCGTGCTGGGTGAGAAAGCTCCGCGCGGGTTGGTGCTGCATCTCCAGCCTTGCTGGTGGCCATCAGGCATAGCCCACCCCAACAAAAGTGACAGAAAATGCCACAGTTCTGGAAAACACAGAAACGTGTGTGAGGTTGGACACCCAGGAGCCTGGTCAGAGACCGACGGGTGGGAATACGAAGGGTCCCACCTCAGCGAGCCAACACCAGCCACCGCCAGGGTGACTGCGGGGAGAGGACACCTTCCAGTCTGGTAGGTCTCAAAAAATAGCAGCCTCAACAGACGAGCAAGACTAAGGCCTACACCTGAGAAGGGGGCAAATTTCTTCCTAGGGCCTGAAGAGAACCCAGCTGGCAGACTGAAGGATGACATTTGAATATTCATCTTCTCTTAGAACTGTAGGCCTGCTCCCTGCACGCATGGACAGGGAAGCAAAGCTAGCACCAGGGAGCGTTGCTGGGACTCGCTCTGGACGGGGGAGCATCCTCAGCCTGCGCCATGTTGCTGTGACATGGCCCTGGGGAGGTGCAGGCTGCATCCGCCGTCCTGGTGCCTGGCTCAGTCTGTGCCAGCCGGGGGATGCCGTTCACTACTTTGGGTGGCAGGCACATAGCCTCAGGCTCCTCAGCTAGGCATGGTGACCATGGCCACCCAGTCCAGACACCTCGAACACAGTCATATACAGACAGAAGAATTCCAAAAGTGGGTCTGGATATATCTTTAAAATGTTACTTCATCAGTCCTAAAAGATTCAAAGAGTCCAAGACTACCTCCTTTAGGACGTGACCGGTCATCTCAATGTTTAAAACACCTAGGTGGTCTCAGTTCACAGGCCTTCAGATAAAAGATTAGTTGATGTGCCTTACAAAAACTCGGTCTCTCTCCCTTTCCTCACCAAAGTACGCAAGCAGACGTTCAGCTTTCAGCCTCAAAATATAGGCCCATTGGCAAGAGCAAATGTGTAAGATGGCCATGCAAAATGAGTAGGGGGCAAGACAGCACCATGTAGGTGCTAGTAAGAGTATAGTAAAGTACCCATACTATATACGCACAGGCACTTTCTGTGTTCAAGTAGTCATAAATACAACGCAATGTGGGAATCCTATAGCTGAAAAGTATAGATAGACGAATTTACACACAGGACTGAATGACCTAATTCAGAAGGCTTTGCCAGCCTTATGCTTCAGAGGAACGTGCAAGAAACTACATAGTGGGCAAGTATGGGTTAATCTGAGCCTAAATTTCATTTTAATGTAACAGTTATAAGTTGGTTTAAACTCTGTAGCTTTCCAAAATATTTTCTGTATTTACTATTTTAATTCTGGGTATTCCTGCTACCTTACTTATACCTTCTTTCCGCCCAAATTTCAATTCTTTCTTCAAACCTTCCTACCTTCTTGGCTTTGACAAATTAACCACATACTATGCGAAAAATGGTTTTTGTCTCATTTGAATTTGCCAACTTAAGACTTCATTAACTGATGAAGGCTTTCTGATTTTAAATTATGATGCACAGAGGAAGGCATGACATCCCAATTCTTACTATTAGCTGTGATTTTTTAATACTTTGAGCTTGGAGCTTAATCTTTTTGGCATTTCTCTGTTGAGATTTTTCCACAGTAGATTTGAGGGGAGAAATCCTATTTGCTTTCTGAAGTAAACATTTTCCATGTTTAAATAGCTCCTTGGATGTTTTCCATGCTTTTGCACAGAATCTTTTGAAATTCGATAAGCATTGTTTGATATATTCTCATTAGAATTCTGTATTATTTTCCTTCCTGCTATTTATTTGCTCAAATTTATTGATTTTGGATGCATAAATTACCTGTAATGATTACCAGGTTTGACTTGAGTTGATTTAGTCAATTAAGAACTTATTAGTGAAGACAAGTAGCTCAATGTTTTTCCTCTAATATTGTGGGTTTTATTTATGAGCATACAATTTCTCTCTTGCTATCACACTACCCATTCACCCATTTGATGTGAAATTTCTGAATATCCTTTTGGATTTGACTAAACTAAACATTTTGTGTCTTTGCACGTTTTGCTGTCCCACACTTGTCTGTGTTTCCTGTCCATTTATGAATGTATTAAGCACAAAACTTACTACAGGACTCTCATAAACAGCCCACTGATTTCTTTTTGCCATGATAAAGAAAACTTGCTCTTTGATTCTGTTTCCCATGCTTTGATCCATGGAGGTATTTTGTTCCTTAATCTGTAACTACTTCGTATTCTTGGTAGTTCCTGTGTGACCATTTTTCGGCAGCATTTTCAAAACGTGTTTGCTATGTTAATATTTTTTTTTAATCTGTTTTTGTAATTACATGTTCCAGGAATTGCAATGAATTAGTTGAAGCGTAACTTCCTTTTCGTAAGTTTTCTATTGTTATTCTTTTAATCATGATTTCTGTCAATTTACCATGTATATATTTGTGGTTTACTCATCTGTATTTTCTGAATCACTGTAAGAACCTTTATTTAAATTTGGTAAAATGTCAGCTGTTTTCAAAGCACTGAGTACAGTATCTGTCCTTAGTTAGAAATACGGTACTTTTGTAGTGGCAGATTATTTACTAGCACCTTTTGGCCGCCAAAAATCCCAAAATGATTTATAAGACAGATTTTGTCTACAAAAGAATGATACAGAAATGTCATCAATGGAACTGAATAGGCTTATAGGCTTATACATTAATTGCATTATCTAAATCAGCTTTTAAAATCAATTTTGACCGGCTTATCAGTTTAGCTCAACTTTGCCATTATTCAAGTCTGAAATCAAACTTCCTAATAAATCTTAAGACAGTCAGATCAAGGTCTTTTGTATTGTAGGTGAGCCATCATTGTGTTTCACATTCATTCTCCACCGTCACAGGCAGTTCTCCTTAATTCACCCTAGTTCCAAAACATCAACATTGCTATACTGTTACTACAAAAGTGAACAGTTTTCCTGGCCACCTTCATGACTGATGTTATCAATGTATATTTATCTTCTAGGTTCCTATTGCCAAGTAGATATTCAATACCTTATAAAGCTGAATGGCTTTTATTTCCAGTCTCTTTCCAGAAATACAAGGTGAAGCTTTTACGAGAATTATTTTCTCGTGTGGTGTTCTATAATGATTTCTTTTGCTACAGAATTTACCTATCCAATATGGGAACATTTCTAAGAAATGAAAAGTTGTAGTGCTCTGAAAATAATATGATGACTTATCAGCTCCACTATCACAGGGGAAAGTCATCTACTACGAAACACTGCAAGAATTACTTTGTATGAGCCCTGCGGGATTATGGGATTACTGTTACACCTCAGAACAGTTAAATGCCAGATGATAACTTAAAATCCTGAGGCACGAGAATTTGTTGAAAAATGAACAACTGAAATTCTGCTTGTCCTTCTGCCCTGTCTTCACTTAATGGTCCCAACACACTTTGCAAGAGCAAACTGTTCAGACAACAGACTTTATATATTGCACACTATTTTAGGTTTATGGTATGTAGTAATCAGTGAGGTATTCGAGGATAAATGCAAGTAAACAGAATTTAGCTATGCCTAAATGGAACAACACGGTGTTTACACACCTTTTGTGCATTCATCTGGGTGTGTATATCTATTATATTATTTACTATTGTAGGAATAGGACAGAAGATGCTTTCAGAAGATGTGGTGTAGAATGGATTGCATAAGTCTTGTGGGAAGACCTACAAGATGTCTTTGTATTTGGCACATCTGAAGGAGTTGGAGTTTTGCACTGCTACTGCAAGATAAATGATTCATATTAAGCCTCTGACTGTACAGTTCAGCAGCCAGTGAAGGAAAACAGGCATCATGAACACAGGCTGAAGTGGAAGTTTGTATTTCTGTTATAAAAATACAAAAATTCCAGTGTGAATATTTAAAGTCTTTGTATGAAAACTGTTGGTTCTATATCTCTGAAAAGCACTTGTATATTTATTTTATGTTCTGAAAAGCACCAATTTGAGATGCCCTTGTGTATTGTTCTATTTAATCCTCTTCAGAAGCAAAACTGTAACCCAAACTGCAATGTTGAAGGACACACACACGTTACGGGGAGATGACTATCCTGCTCATCTGAGTTTGGTTTGTCCAAACTCAAGTGTACTTTTTCCGAATTGGACTCAGTAGAATAATTATTTTCTTTATGTGATATTTTGGACTGCGCCACTGTTTTAACTATCCTGACATTTTGTTGCATTGCTAGGCTTGGATAGATTTATGTATAGACCAGTCCCACAGATTGTAATCTGTGCAGTCGGCATCTTTGCACACCACGCAGACTGGCTGTAGCAATAAGCTAAGTGCACTCTAATGTTCTAATTATATAGACATACATATAAAATACTCAAAACTTTATAATTAGTACCATTAACTTCAATGTTGCTGTTCATGAGTAAAATAAAGTACATGTTGAAAATTAACTGCTAGCATAAGTAAGAGATTCTTAAACTCCCTTCCACTATTACGCAATAAGTGTCATGTTTTTCTTAAATAAAGAAGCTTTGCTACCTTGCCAGCAGGTATCGGGCAGATTTTTCACAGGGTTTCCCAAAATACACTTCAATAATATTAAAAATGCCTTCTGATTCTCAGTGTATTTCAATCATTACTTGCTTGTGCACCACTACAATCTCTGTAGAGGAGGCCGCTTCTGTTACTAGTTTCAGAGCACACAAAATCTTTGCCTGTTATTTAGTTTTACTTCAAGGACTTGAGTTAAAAAGGGCTCTTTATCAAGGGACTAATGTTCCAACCTAACTCCCATTATGGTCAGTGGAAGTATCTCTATTTTCCTTCTGCGAAGAGTGGTAGAGAACAAAAAGATTAATTTTAACCTCATCATTGGCTGAAAACTGGTCTGAGTTATCGGCAAGAAAAAGCGACCATATTGGGTGTAGTCAGTGTGGCCACGCTGAGAACAGGTGTTTGTGCCAAAACTAGCACTCGGACAAGTGGTTCTCCGCAGCAGTGTCGGGAAGCTGGCACAGAGTGATGCTCCAGCCAGCATCCCCAGGTCCCAGCAGCTCCCCAATTATCTGCTGCTTACATGCATACCGCAATCCACTGCTATAAGCTTACTAAAGCAAACAGTATAAACACATCTTTGTGTTTGGCTTTGGTGAACTTGTTATCCAAAATCATTTAACAAAACTGCAGCGTAAACTTATGAAATACTACTTCATGTGAGCTGGTTTGCAAGTACTGCTTTGAGTACGGAAAGATCGAGGAAGATATGAACCTTTGTTTCTCGCATCTGTGGGTACACATATTAACTAGAAAGTTGCATGTTAGCATTTTTAATGTGGTCAGGGCAAACTGAATTGTTTTATAAAGTTTATTATTTGCATACTTGCCTAGTTCTAAAGTTACATGGATTTGAGGGAACTCCAGCTACATACTTCATATAATCCTACTTGCACACATCATAAATATTAAGGCCAAAAAAGACAATTAAATAATTTCAGTCTGACTTCTTGTATG